GTACTTCTTAGTCATACATTTGTATGATTTTATTGAAGAGAAAATATTTAAATGTTAAAAAAAAAATTTCTTAGACATTCAAAACCAAACGAATCACAAAAACCAAAAAAAAATCAAAACTAGGCTAATCACCAATAAAAAAATAATAAGTAATATCAATTGCACAAAAAGAAAATCAAAATCAAGCAAATTACCAATAAAAAAAATAAATGAAACCAATTGCACCAAAAAGCAATATTCAAAACCAACTATAAAAAAATATTTCCAAGTCGTACATTGCACCAAAAATCAATATTCAAAATCAACTATAATTTTTTTTTCCAAGTCGTAGGCATTCAAACTCAAGCTAATTACCGATAAAAAAAATAACAAAGCCAAATATTTGAGTAGTTTTATAGAATGAAAAAATATTTGAATGCTAAAAAAAAAAAACTCCAAGTTGTAGACATGCAAAGTCAAGTTGAACCAAAAACACAAAAAAAAAAAAATCAAAGTCAAGCTAATCACCAAAAAAAACAAAAAAAATCAAAGCCCAAGCTAATAGCAATAAAAAATAACAAGTAATTAAATTTATAATTATATTGTGTTATTCGATTGAATGGTGACAATGGTGATAAATTCATACGTCTTATAAATGAGTAAGATTTTATGTATTACTTAAAAATTATAAATTTTATTAGATTTCATTAGTATTTTTTTTCCCGAGGTATTTGTATATGTGATATTATTTTGGAGAATTTTTTTTATACATTTTTGGGATAGTTCTATTAACATGAAGAATATGATCGACAATATATTTCGAGTCATTTTAAAAGAATTGGTATGAATGTTTTTGACCTACTTTCTTTTTCAAGATGAACAATTACTTGCGATTTTTTTATGGGTTATATAGTGCGTTCAGGCACTTTCAATGACTAAGCCACGAAAAGCTAAACACAAATAAATCTAGCTACTTTATTATATAGATGTTTCATCATCTCATTTTACATTTATATTAAATATAATTAATTTTAATTTTATTTATTTAATTAATCATATCAAATATCTCAAACTAACAAGTCTTTACAAATATTTGATGCATGTAACTTGTGAATAAAAAATTGAACACTAATTTTTTTTTAATTTTTTAAGAAAAATTCAACGCTAATGTATCCTTATAAATTAAAAATTCATATGATCTTTATGCGAGTAAAATTAATTGAATCGAGTGAAACAATTTCTTAATTTTGTAATTTATACTGATAAGAAAAATAATATTTTACAAATGATATTTTTGTAGATTATTTTTTGATAGAAATTATTTTGGCGGTATGATTTTTGATAGATTGGATTTTTAGTTTGAATTAGATTTGAATCGACTTTGATTACATTGGATATAAATTAATGTTTTTTGACCAATTATTCGAATATGAATTTAAGTCAATTATATCCTATTTTATGGAATTATATTTAAATATACTTATTCATTAAGTCAATTAATTTCAGTTGAATTCGAATATAAATTATTCAAAAGAAAATCTTTCAAGTATTTGGATTAAATTTAATATTATATTTTTTTATTGAATTAGAATTATAATATCAAATTTAATCCAAATACTTTGACAAAATTTCGTATCAAATATAAGCAGAGCCCTTATTAATATTTGTTATATCTGGTCTTGAATTTTGGGAGCCTCCCGAAGGGTCTTGTATTGATACCACACCGGTTGGGCTAACAGCACCAAGTTCTGTTATCAAAGAACAACAGATGAGCCGTGCCCGGGAAAAAAGAGCGGTGAGGTTAGCAGTTGACCACCATACCATTTTAAAGTCGCGGATTCAAACTTCAAACCTCATCGTCCCCTCTCAATAATAACACCTGACCAAAAAAAAAAGGGTAGGCTAGCTCAAAACAGGAAGCAGGGTTGTTTTCAAACAGGTTTCAGAAAACAAACCCAATTGGTTCTTCAAAAAAGAAAAACCAAAGCTCAGAGCCTAATACAATGGTCCATAGCTGATCTGTTTCACGTATTTGAGAAAAGCTTCATTCACAAACAGGTAATGGCCTTTGATTGTTATTCAAAGGAAATTCAAAAGGCCTGAATGTCAACCTCAATTTCTATATGAAACAAATATTGTTGCAAACCACTTGATATTAGCCAATGGGCCGAGAAAAGGTATACGACAAACTATTAGCCCATGAGACGGTCATTTCATTTTTATACGAATCGTGATATCTTATTTGTTTTCATTTCATCACTAACTAAAGAAAATAATATTTATTTACAAAAAGAACATGGTGCTGCTCTACAGCTTGAGTTTTATAACATAGTAATCTCCTCCGAATGCAAAGGAGGAGTTATAGAGCATTAGATAACACCTCCCTCCGTACATCTATAAATATATCAGAAAAAAGTAAATAAATCAAATCACCAATTTGCAAGAGAACACAGATAATTTACCCAGCCACCCCACATCTCAGCTTCTAGCTTCCACCAAATTTTCTGGCTATACGTGGCCAAGCAGATTGTTGCGCTTTTGCTACATTACATTTTGAGACGTGACAGTGATGGACTGTGAGTCTGACCTTCATGCAACAGCACAAGGAACTCCAAATGCTTGGCAATACAGTCACTAAGGGTCTTCAGCATTCACCGGATCTGAGTTCTTCCAAGAGATGATGCTCCAATTTCACTTTCAGTGTTCTGCACAGAAAGCTCCATTTATGAGATGTTTATTGTTTTTTCATTGACGGACTTCCCTCTTTACAAAATTCCACAAAATTGACAAACCACCTTTGAATTTTTACCCTTTCCCATTCCCTGATTGTAGTTTCTCAAGTTTTAATCATCTCTCTCAAATCTATATGTGTTTCCATATCATTTCTACATTTTGACTATATACTAGGTATTTTATTTATGTTTTTAAAAATTCTATTTTGCTACATATTTTTCTGGACTCATTTTTCCAGTTCGTAGGTCTTATCCTATGATCTTGATTCTTTAACCTCCCCCATCTATCCAAGGTAGGATCCAATTCTAAAAACATTTTCAGAAAGTACTCAAAAAGGAGGGAAAAAGGTTAGACAATAAAGCAGCCATTACACTAATCAATTCCTGAGGACATACAACTAGCTTATTTCTGTCAATCAGAAACCCGGGCTCTGAAATTGGCATGAGGAGATGGTTCGGACAAACATTGAATAGAGTCCCCATAAAACTTTTCTTGACCTAAGCAAATTACTTACCTGAGATTTAGGAGAAGGGAACACATTCCAGAACCTAAGAGTTTCATCTCCTGCTCCTGTCACAATTGTCTGCAGCAACAATCATTATGAAGTTAAAAAATACAGGCATTAAAGAGACAAATAGCAAAAGCATAAATGGAAATAAACTAATTACATCTTCTCCTGATGCTTAAAAATAAAAGGTTAATATGCTACCTGTCCATCTGGTGAGATGGCAAGGTAAAGAACTCTATATGTATGGCCAGTAAGAGTTGCCAGCTGCATAAAGAGAGGAAAATACAGAAAAATATTATTGCATGTAGATGTGCACTATTTCATAGGGCCATGCTCAGACTTTCATACCTTGGACATTGTAGGATATCTCCAAACTATAATTTGGTTTTGGGAGTAACCGTGGGTGCTAACAAGTTCATTGACATTCTTAGACCACACAAGATTGCATACCTGCCATAGGTACAACAGCAGTCAGTACAACTTAGTAGTTGTAGTCAGAGAAGGGGAGTAAGGGGCATGTATATATTCACTTGTATTGAATTCCCTTTTTCGTTTTGCTCTTTTCCATGTAAGAAAAGCTATGCAGTATCTTTCATTCTTTGATTATAAACGAGATTCATGACAAACCCCATGATTTTGCACTCTTTCCATACAAAGTCTTTTTGGTCTTGTAAATTCATTTTTTTCCTATTTAGAGAGAGGGGGCTTCAAGTTCTTAGGAAGAACCAATTACTGAATAGCTTCCCAATGGTATGTTCTGGGTTTGTTTCAATAGGTGATTTTGAGAATCAACCAACCCACAAATCCGTCCATAAAGAGGCCATGTATGATGGATTTCACTGCACCACACTATCAACACTATACCCTATTTCTTAACACTAGGATAGGGAGATGCTTGATTTATAAGTGCGAACCTGGATCTCATTTTATCATATAAACAGTTACAGAACACGTGATTTTCTCACCTTTTTTCCTTCTGATGCCCTGTGATATATGTATCCATCCCACTTGCAACTAACACGTATACCAAGATATAATTATTATGCAAGATGAACAAAACAAACCAAGTTGTACAATGAAACTAAACTATATGTCTAGCCTAGAAGACCATATTATTCAAAATGGTCAAAAGAATTCTGCTCCTACGAAGAAGTTAAAATAACAGGCTACTAATATAAGCTCTCATTTACTAAGCATGAATAAAAATCATATGCTCTGGTGTACTAAGGACAGAAATGAAAAAAAGATTCACCTGACTGCCAGTGTCCATGCAGCTAAGCTGTGAGTTAGTGGTGGTGTTCCAGAAACGAATGCATCGGTCAGCAGTACCGCCGCCAGAAGCTAGGAGTCCATGAAGATGAGGGGACCATGCAATTGCTTTTACAGCAGCTGTATGTGCACAGTATTTCAGCACAGGTTGTGTTGAATGTTGGGTCCAAACGAAAAGCTGCCCAGAGACAAACAATTTCTCAATCAGGTGTTACTAGTGCATACTATTAAGTTCAGGAAAGAACAGTAATATGTAGCAAGCATGATCGATTAGCTAGAAGAGAACAAAATCACATACCCTATTATCATTTCCACCAGATGCCAACTCACGATTATCATATGACCACTTCAATCCACAAACCTAAACCACAATCAGATGATATTCAGGCCGAGAAGAAACTCAGAAATACGAAGATACAATAAATTTTATCCAGTTAAAAAAATACCAAAAGGTACAATTGACCAAGATGTTCAATAAGCTGAATTAAGATGGGTGCCTGACCTCTGATTTGTGCCCAGATAGTTTACTGACAAAATCTTCCTGTGCACGTACATCTCGTTGAAGGATACTCTTGTCCCGGCTACCTGAAGACAACAGGGATGAACTCCAGGCTAGTGCCCCGACACGTAATCGATGTCCATCCATAGTTCTTACCCTCTTACAGCAAGAGGCATCCCAAATCTTTGCAGAAAAAAGTCAATGCATCCGTTAAATAACATTGGACAACAAAGTACAATGACTAAAGATATGGCACATGACCTAAATGCAGAAATGTGTCTCAGTTTCTTAGCCACTGTTCAAGATACTAACAAATTTTGACACGTGGAGGTCAGGTAACTAGCATGTTTGAACTCCAAGCAAAGATACCTTGCATACTGAAGAGATGGTACTAAATTTTGTCCCAAGTTTTATTAGCTAGAAGTAAAACTAGTGTTCTGAGTCAAAGTTATCAGAACCGGACCGGTCATCTAACTGGCAAAAGAACCGGGTCAATGGTTCACTGGTTCAACTGGTCGAACCGGTCACATAATAAAAAAAAATATATATATATATATATATATAATAATTATAAAACATAATAATTTAGCTAGAAAATATAAATATGTCTAAAATAAATATAATTTGCCATAAAATTAAATTAATGAAGTTAAGTAAAAGAAACACGTGTCAAATATCAAAATTCAACTTTAAAGCTCCAAACTACTAACCAGTCAAGGACATTACTATAATATTTGTTAAAAGCCTACCTGATATTTTCTATGGCTCTGGGACCCAACACGAAATCCATAGCCCAATGGGCAATTCCATTCCCACCACCAAAGGCCATGCCTTCAGCAACTATAGAACCAAGCCCTCCACTTGTAGATCCCCTTTGTACAAGCGCTGGTGGAGGAGCAGGAGCAGGAGCAACTGGCTATGGAGGCTTACGTGGTGGAGAGCGGGTAGCAGGACGAGGAGCTGACCTCATTGATCTTCCTCTGGAGCTTTGGCGACGACCCAACAAAGATCTAGTTGAAGACGAATAGGCAGCGATTTGAAGAAGAGAGGCTGGTATGTAGGCAGCGATTTGAAGAAGAGAGGCTGGGATTTAGGGCAAAAATGCCCAAAATAGAATTTTTTTTTTAACAATTGCAATCTAACCGTCCGGTTTGAACAAACCGTCCGGATCACCGGTTTTAACAAAAATCTGGCGGTTTAATGGTTAACACAGTTCACTTGCCTAGACGGTCCAACTTAAGAACTGGACTGGTCTATGCCCCGGTTTACGGTCCAACCGGTCGATCTGGCCAATCCGGTTCGGTTTTGATAACACTATTATGAGTTGACAGAAAAACCCTAGAGGAATTTATCCCTATCAAAACTGAAATCCACATATCTCAGTAATTCGATACCCTAGCAATAGGCAAGAACACCTTTGGACCCATAAGTTTGCCTATGTCTTCATCTTCAGCTGTGTACTGTATAAGTGCGTGTGTGCCTTAGTTACTTTCTATAGATGGTGGTTTGATGCGGGGGCAGCTTAAATTCTTTTTGCAAGAGATCTGTTTGTAGACAAATTTCCAAGTTTCATAACTTGAGAAAAAATGGCTATGGCTAGTTACACATGCATACCATTACCTATTAATTCCTGATTTGTAACAATTCAATCAAGAGCCAAAGTCTATAAGAATGAGAACCAAAAGACTATCTTGGTTCCTTACAAGGTGAACACACACCTTGTCAACTTCATATATAAGTCCTGTTTACAGGAGAACTCCAAATTCCTAATAGCTCCTAATGAATCAAAGGAATGACTTAAAGCTCAAATTATTTCACTAACTGACATGCACGTGGCTTATGCACAATACTTCCATTAGTTAAAACTATAAGGTCCCATAGACTTATCATATCACACCTGAAGTTTGCCATTGCTAGTCCCCACAGCAAGATGTGTGCCTCGCTGAGCCCAACCAACTGAACAAACGCTATCGTCAATTCCCAAGTCACACAACTTTACCACCTGCATAGCATGCCAAGGGAATGTAAAACATAGACTCATCAGCACATAAATTCACTTACATATCTACATGAATACATATGTCCAAGATGGGAATGCCACCAAAAAGAAATAGCTCACCTTGCTACTAGAAGCATGCCATAAATAAACGCAGTTACCCAACCCCACAGATAACACATTATGCGAAGACCAGTCAACAAGATTCAGATAGAAATCATCTTGCAATGCAGGTGCATCCAGAACCTATCAAGAAATAACAGCCATAAATTCAAGAAAGTCAATAAACAAAACACCCCACTAACCCTAACCCAAACCCAAATTCATAAGCAAAACCATAAATTCGCCACAATAGCCATAGATTAAAGCAATAATCACGAATCCAAGATCACCAAATTAACAAAGAAGTCACAAAACTAACCTTATAAGGCGACCTAGGAACCTTTCTTGGAGTTTTAACAGGGCTATGACTAACCCCAGGCAACTGATCATCAAACCCAAAAGGGGATAAAGACTGCAAAGACTGTCTCGTCTCGGTCTTGTACCGGAAAATATTACGAGTCGGAGGACTAAGATGCAAATTCTTCCCATTCAATCCCACAGCCTTGTCGGGTGTTCCCGGAGGACCCACCACCGAGTCCGGACCGAACAATGCGGTCTTTAACAGAGTCGTATACGCATTGTTCGACTCCTCCGAGGAGGAATTCGTGGTCGGAGACAGGTCAAAGAGAGCGAAATTAGACCCAGATCGGCTTGGAATGAACCGGTCACTGTAGATGGCGCGCGAGGGCGACGGGTGGTAATTGAGACTGCTCATGAGGTCTACGTGGCGATTTGGGGTTTTGGGTTGGAGAGGGAGAGTGGGTTTGGACATTGTAGGTGGAAGATTGAGCTGTGAAGAAGAAGATGAAGAAGGAGGTCTGAGTTGTGATTGGGGACCTAAGGAGGGAATGTTGGAGTTGTCCATAAAGGATTTGGTTTGAGTTTAATCTCTGATTATCAGAGAGATAGAGAGAGGTTAGGGGCTTGTGATGGTGATTAGGGAGGGTTAGAGAGAGATAGAAACCCTAGGGAAGACAGAGAAAGCTTGGGAGCTGAAGAGAATGTTGGGTAATGGGATTTTAGGAAACAAGTTTTCGACGGTTTCGGTTGTTAGGAGACTTCACAAAGGGCTGTTATTTTTCCCGGGGAAATTAACCGAAGGGCTTTTTTGCGGGAAAACGAGAAGTTGGGCTCACCACGGCAAATGGGCCTGGGTTGGGTGTGATTTGACCACAGATCTATTTGGGCCTTCTACTACCCCTTTAAAAAATAAATTATTTTTTTTGGGCTTTTTTATTTTATTCCCTAAAAGATTTCAAATTTTTTATTTTATACATTGAAAGATTAAATTTTTTATATTATATTTTCAATGTATCAAGAGCATTGCAATGTGGCATTTTTGTTTGTTTTCGTTATTTTTTTCTTCAAAAGCCAACCCATTGATATTAATAAAAAAACCAATAGAAACCTAACAGAAGAGTCACATTACAATACTCTTGATACATTAAGGGTACAAATATAAAAAAATTAATCTTTAAGGATATAAAGTGAAAATTTTAAAATTTTTCAAGGTGCAAAGTAAAATTCATCCTTTTTTTTTTTTCCTTTAAAGACTAAAGTAGAAAAATACAAAAAAAAAAAAAAAAGTGTAATGTATGAGATTTTTTATTGCTGCAGGATCAGGGAGAATTGCCTTATCCCACACTAAAAATTATTTTCAATACTTAAATCCATAAAACTCAAATCACAATATAAACCCACCTGGTATTTATGAAATATAACAAAAACTAATTAGGATGAGTATGTGCAAAACTTCCTCTCTCTTCTCATTGCTCTTGCTGGTCAAGCAATTTTCTAGTTAATACTTCTGTGGCAAGTTGGCATCAAAAGCTTATGATCAGCAACACTTCATTGATCGATTAAGAAAAGACCATTCCTCTTGAACTGTTTTATGAATTATGAGTGTACTCAAAGCCAAGACACTGAAGCTATAATTTTCTCTTCTCCTAAATCATATTGTCTCTTTTTCTCTGGGTCATACACTGAAGTAACTAGTAAGAGAGCCAGCTATGTTCTATCATGGTTTTTGTTGATTAAAGAGTGAGAGAGAGGGGAGATAGAGAGTTTTGTTTATCACATACTAGGTTTTGGGTTTAGAGAAGTTACAATTTTTTGTTTACTACAAGGTATTTAGGCTTACGCTGACTATTTCCTCGAGCTTAGCAACTGGTCACCGTACAGTGACTTGAGTTACATTAAAACATGTCCCTAAAAAGACAAAGGTGACTAGCCCTTAGGAGTGTGGGAATGTATTGAATTTTAGGGAAGTTACTTTATAAATAATAAAAAATGTGTTCCAAATTTGGTTGCACACGATATTAATTCATCAGCATCCATTGCAGGCAATCTTGAAGCCTAGAAGGACCTGTACTTTGGGTTGATTGATGCTTCAATTCTATTCTCATTTGCGTCATTCATTCCCTTATAAATGTCCTCTTTCTTTGGCCTTGTTCTTCTCTCTATGTCTATGTAACCTGAAAGAGTATGATTTCAAATTGCAGCATTGTGGGAGAAATAGAATTAAAGAAAAGACATTGAGGAGAGTTCTGTTTTGTGCAAACTCTATCAAGGTCAGTGTTCTTCTGAGTTATGGGAACAGTCTTTAATATGCCAAGTAATGGTGGGAGTCTCGTGCACTTGACTGTTTTTTTTTTACCCTTCTAAGATTCGTGTTTCTGAGAACCTGTGTTAGTACTCAAAACATAAATTCGAAACCAAATCCACAAAGCAAAAGTGCCTTTGATTTCAACATTCCCTGGATTCAAAAGAACAGAATATAGATAATTTTACAGAAAATAATCAGCTATTCATGTGTGGACTGGAAGCCTATGCAAATTTGCTCAACTTTTCTATCTATAAACTATCAAATTCTTTCATTTTCGGATAATGTTACAAAAAGAATAAGAACAACTATGAGGAATTCAAGGAGGAGGAGGCCTATACTCATGCTCAATTGAAGGCACTGTCCGGGTGACTGGTGCAGTAAGAGCCCTCACATGCCCAACCATGGAAACTTGTAGAGCTTCCTCTTCATAGGCCCTCCTCTCCAATTCCTCCATTCTTGCTTTCTTCTTCACCCTAGCAAACAAAGCAATCAAAAGCAGACCTAGAAGAAAGGCTCCCAATGCAGCTCCAATTGAGGTCCCAACCGCCATCTTCCATGTACTAATTTTCTTCCTCAATGGCAACAACGGCGATTCAACAACCAATCCAAAATGGCCATGCCTCATTGCAGCACAAACATTCGGTGACACTTGATTCGCCAATGTTACCTTGCCATCGCTATCAAAACTAGCACATAATGGTATAATCCCTGATGTGGTGTTAGCCCTTGCGGTACTGCTAAAATCAATGGTAATGGGATTTTCTCCGGCTTGAATCCCAATCTCGAATGGGGTACTGAAGTTTATATTGTCACCAGCATTGTAAGCTAGTAGGCCTAAAACAGGTGAAATAAGTTGATACCCTGATAATTCATAATTATCATAATATATAGATGACCAGTTTGATCCGAGGTATTGTCTAACTACCATGACTCTCTCCACACAAGGGTGCACAGTTACACCAACATCCAAATTGAATTCTTTAACTCTTGCACCATATCGATGAAGACTGCCACAACGAAACCTTACTGTATCGACCTTAATTCCCGAGAGGTTTGCTGGTAAATCCAAGGTGTGTAATTTGCCTGTCCCAAAGTATTTGTCGTACGACTGGAATGTGTAATCTCTAATGACAAGATCAAGAAGACGAGCCGATTTGATACCTTGAGCTTGAGCTTTAGTAGCTGCTGAAGATGCCAGTGAAAGAATCATCAAAGTGAGAGGAAAGAGAGAGCCCATTTGGGAACTCAAGAGATTGGTTTACAAGAAGGATGTATGTTGGAAATGTAGTATGGTTTCTTCTGGTCTTTTGGGACTTGGACAATAAAGGAAGAGCTTGGTTTCTATGAACACTGTACTAAACCAGCTTTTTCTTTCCAATGGATGCAAAATGGGTTGGAGTTAGAAAGAGGAAAGTTTGGACTGCTTGGAAAAATTAATGACTCAAAGAAGCTGTCAAGAATAGAAGGGGAAGTACTACACAATTAGGGCTGATTCTGGACAATAGTGCCAGAAAATTTCAAAATACCTCATTTCGAAAAGCTTTTTACAATCTGAACAAGAATGAAAATGTGTCATTCAACTCGTCGTTTTTAAGCAAAAATATGATGTTTAGGGCACTTTTCTATTTTATCCCGTTGTTTAGGGTATTTTCATAATATTGTTTATTTGTTTGGTTTTTCTAGTAATTTAGGACCATTATAATTTCATTTTTATATGGTGTCGAAAACTAATTCAAGAGTTTTGATTTTAATTTGAATAAAAATTTATAGACAAGTTCTCTTTTCTTTTCAATTGCCTTGGTATTCTACGAAATCAACAAGACTTTTAAAAGCTCTAATATGATATTATTACAATAATCAACAAATTATACCTTCTATTATTTAGTCTAATTTTTTAATTCACGCAATCCTGCATCATGAAGTGAAAAGAGAAAGCTAAGTTTATGTCCTGTTTCTATTGTCTGTTGGGAGAGAATATACTTTTAGGTGAATTGTTAAAGCTAAGGTCAAAAGACTACCTGTTGGTTTTGGAGGAGGCGGGGATGACTTGGCCAGATACTGCTGGTTTTGCATCTAATTTACAGGTATGCATCTGTTTTTCTCCTCTCCTTTTTTTTTTGGGGGGTACAAAAATGAACATGTATGTATCTCCATGTATACAGCCAGTCCCAAATGATGTGAAATTTCTGCACTACAAGCTGTTGTACAAATTTCTTTATCTCAATGCTCCATAGTCCTGAGATTTGTTCTATATGGTCTACTTATATCACGATTCAAAGTATCAGTCGATATCGATACGAATCGGTCAAATTATATTCTGTTTAGCACATTCCAAAATGATATACCATTGCACAATACGTGTAAACTTCGAGTCTTGCACGACTCAGTTTTCAATTGTCGAGTTATCATCACCGAATCGGCCGATATTGTTCCGTAAAGCCACAATATGACCTAAATCTTTAATAATGTTCAATATTTTCTTTTAGGTTGTATCGCCCGATATCGCTCCACGACGTCATGATCAATGTATCTCAGAGCTCTATGAGTCCATAACCAATATTGCGACCTTAAATCATAACTTAGTATTTGAGGGGGACCCAAAATAAGTATGTCACGAGGAAAATCCAGTTGGTGTTCACTTTTTTTTTTAACCGTAAAAGTGATTTTATTGATCAAATAATTAGGATACACAAAATAAATTGAGACAAACTCATACGGTTTCCAAGGAAACAAACTACCTAATCTAGAAAATAAGTGTTCTTTCAATTAAAAGAGACTAGGTAACTATTAAATCGAGAAAAATAATTGTTCTTCCCACCCAATAGATCAGGTAAATATTACTCCCATATCTCAAAAGGTTAAGATATTTTGTCTATTTATAAAAATAAAAGTGTAATTTAAACCAAATAAACTTCCATTGATTAGGCACAAGACTACATACACCTATAGAGGGGTTTAATAATCTCTAATACATCTTCTTCTTTTTTTTATTGTATGGTGCCTTGAAATTGAATATATAAAGAGGGGGTTGACAGACAAAGTTGGAGGAATGATTTGGAGCATGAGGGATGATGATGACATTTCATGTCAAAAGGGAATGAAAAGGGAGTGGCGTGCTCAAGGGGATGTAATGAAGGCATAGTCCTCCTCATGGGGCTTAGTACTCTATTGGTGTTTGGTAACATGTTCCCCACTCTAACCACTCTGTGGGTCGCCTGCTAGCTAGGATGGCATCCAAGTTGTTTTCTCTTTGAGAGGGA